AGAGAGCGCAGGTAACTTTTTTTCTTTCATTTTTACAGTATGTATTGGGGTTGATGTGTACTATGGTTGCTGCTGCCCAGGAGTTATGGGAGTTTGAGCGCAGGACTTGTTTTTTTGTATAAGGATTACTTAATAAATTAGGAGGTTGATGTTGTCAGAGAATAAATCAGTTTTGTATGTATATACAGTTTGTAATATGGAGGGTAACAGCTGCGTAAGTGCTATGTGCAGAGGAATCTGTCTAGATTGAAAGTGATGTGCCTGAATGCAAATAGTAAGGTTGATAATATCTAATAATCATGATTAGATGATACTAGGTAAGATCATGCCCATAGTATAAACAGTTAGAGGGTACAAGGGATATACATTATCCCTCAATATATTATTATAATATATTATTGTGTGCTGTTTTCTGCAATTCTCATTACTTTCGCATGTTAGATTCTAGTTGAATTCTGGTCATAAGACAGATGGGGAGCTGGTTGCCTAAATCTGTTCTTTCCAATGTAATTACTATATTAGAGGCAATGAGAAGCTTTGAAATCTTCCACAGCTGCTGCTGTCAGGGAAGGACAAAGAGATAAATCTTTGTGGAATTTATGAACATTTTAGCACATTGTTTTGTTTGCTTGGTCCCAAACAGATGCCAGGAAGCAAACCTATTTAAACATAAAAATAGATTAAATAAGTCACTAAAATGGTTGCACGAGTGTAAATCATGAATTGCATCAGGTTACCAGAAAATGTACAAACATTTCATAGCGGTCATTTCCAAAATATGCTTTTTTACTGCAATTGCAATTTTTTTTTTTGATGGAGGAAATGCTAAATCCCAATAAATATCTCTATTTATAAGTTCAAGAAAATATGAATTAAAAATGTTCCAGGCAAATTAGGAAAGTTACCCATCTGGGTAACGTGAATTATTGGAGATTTTAATTACCTGGACATAAATCGTGATAGATTGACTGGTAGTTCAGCAAGGGGAATCAGGTTTTTGAACGTGTTAAATGACAACTTCATGTCAGAACTGGTACACGCACCAACTATAAAGGATACTTGTCTCGATCAGGTTGTAACATACAATGTTGATCTTTTAACCAACATCCAAGTAAGGGAGCACTTGGGAAATAGTGATCACAATATAGTCTCTTTTGAAATAGACCCAAAAAAGCAAAAGCACATAAGGTATACTAAAACATATAATTTTATAAAGGCCGATTTCAATAAGATAAGGGCTACTTTACACAATATTGACTGGTATAAATTCAAAAACACTGAGAAGAAATGGAATATCTTTAAATACATATTAGAACGGTACAGTTCTCAGTATGAGCCATTGGGTAATAAATTGGGTAATAAATCTAAAAGAAACAAACTAAAATCAATGTGGCTCAGTGGGAAAATAAACCAAGAGATTAAAAATAAGGAAAAAATTTTATATCGGACAAATCAGAGGCATCCTATGTAAAATGTAAGAAAGCCAATAATGCATGCAAATAGGCAATTAGAGTGGCTGAAGTAGAAAATGAGAGATTGACAACCAAAGAGAGCAAAAGTACATAAAATAAAAAACTGAAAGTGTAGGTACACGGAAAACAGAGAAGGGTGTGTTAATTAATGAAGACCAGGAAAGGGCAAAGCACATGGGGTATACAAAAACATATAATTTTAGAAAGAGCAATTTCAATAAGATAACTATTTTCAAATGATTGCTGTAAAAAATGTTCAGAGAAATTGTGATTAGATAACACAAGACAAGGTGATACAGCAGCTGTAGCAAATTAATGTAAATAAAGCTCCGCGGCCTGATGGTATTCACCCACGAGTACTTAAGGAGCGTGTGAAAATAAGTGAACCTCTGTATTTAATCTTTCAAGAGTCTTTTCTTTCAGGAATTGTGCCAGAGGATTGGCGGATGGCAGATGTTTCCTATATTCAAAAAGGGTTCAAAATCTTTGCCTGGAAATTATAGACCTGTGAGCTTAACTACTGTGACTGGGAAAGTATTTGAAGGGTTAATATCCAGGAATTCATTTTGAAGAACATTGTTATTTGCAATAATCAGCATGGTTTTATGAAATATAGGTCATGTCAAACTAACTTAATTGCATTCTACGAAGAAGTAAGTATAAATCAGGGTGTTGCAGTTGATGTGATGTACTTGGATTTTGCCAAGACATTTGATACAGTGCCTCACAATGAGTTAGCGTTCAAACTAAAAGAAATTGGTCTAGATGAAAATTATTGTTCTTGGGTAGATTATTGGCTTAAAGATAGAGTACACAAAGTTGTCAGTAATGGTAAATTTTCAAGGTGGACAAAAGTGGTAAGTGGTGTCCTTCAGTGTTCTGTTCTAGGTCCACTTATATTAACATATTTATAAATGATCTTGAAATAGGCATTAAATGCCGTGTTTCAGTATTTGCATATGACACGAAACTCTGTAAAGTAACATAATGTGAGCAGGATATTAGCTGCAGTGGGAATTAGATAGATTTGGGAACTGGGCACTCAAATGAAATAAATTTATTGTAGCAAAATGCAAAGTTATGCACTTCGGGATAAAGAATGAACAAGCAACTTACACTCTAAATCAGGGGTAGTCAACCTTTTAAAACCTACCACCCACTTTTGTATTTTTGTTGATGGTAAAATGTCCTTACCGCCCACCCCAGTAGGTAACATTTTCTTACTGTCCTAGTAACTAATTTTATAGCACAAGAGCAATTTTAAACATATTTTTTTTTTTTTTCGAAATGAGGGTTTTCTTTAATATAAAACTTAAATTTATCTATTTTTTTCCCTTTTTTTATGTGTGTCTGTGAGGTGCTGTGTGCATTAATGGTTCATGTGTTTATGTGTAAAGGGTGTAGTGTGTGTGTGTGTGTGTGTGTGTGTGTGTGTGAGAGAGATAGAGAGGGGCAGTGTGTGTGAAGGTGCAGTGTGTGTGTGTGTGAGGGGTGCTGTATGTGGGTGAAGGGTGCAGTGTGTGTATGTGAAGGGTGCAGTGTGTGTGAGGCGCTGTGCGTGTGTGAGAGGAGCAGTACATGTGTGAAGGGGGCTGTGCGTGTGTGAGGGGGACACTGTGCATTTGAGGGTGGCAGTTAGTGTGAGAGGTGGAGTGTGTGTGAGGAGGCAGTCTTTGTGTGTAAGTGGGGGGTGTAATGTGTGTGAGAGGACAGACTGTGCGTGAGGGGGGCAGTCTGTGTGAATAATGATATCAAAATCTACGCTAAAATTGGGGCTGAGAGATTGGCACAAATTGTCCCTATGGTACTTGATAAAGACCAAGTGGGCTTCATTGCAGGGAGACAGGCACCAGATGGTACAAGGAGATATATATACCTAATACATCATATTAAAGCAAAATCCAACGCCTTCTCTACTCCTTTCTTTTGATGTGGAGAAGACATTCAAAAGGGTCCACTTGGGCTATTTGAGGGAAGCTCTGCTCAAATTTAATATACCCACCTGCCTTGATAAAGCAATTTTTGCATTATATGAAAACCTGACCGCAAACGTATCTGCTACAGGTTTCACCTCTGATAAAAAAAAAAAAAATTTAAACAGTATGTAAAAAAAAAAATTTAAACAGTATGTACATATTTAATTTTAAAAAAGCTTGGCCAATATTACAAAAGGAAATGGAAAACTGGAATAAGTTGGAAATTTCCTGGTTAGGTAAAATTACATCTATTAAAATGAACATCTTTCCTAAAATACTATGCTACTTGAGAACTATTCCCTTGTCAATTCCGAAGACATTCTTTATAACAGTTCAATCTGCTCTAATTAAGTTTATATGGGAAAATAACATGAGCAGAATAACGTTTTCAGTATTGCAAAAAATGTCAGTATTGCAAAATCTCAAGTCTCATGGAGGGTTAGGGATACCTGATTTTTAAAAATATTACCTGGCAACTAATGCCGCTACAGCACTTAAGTTTGGCCTACAAGGTCAGATTCCACGTTGTCTTGAGATGGAAATGATAGGCTGTCACATAGGCGTGCGCACGGGGTGTGTGTGTCTGTGTGTGTGTGTGTGTGTGAGTGTGTGTCTGTGAGTGTGTGTGTGTGAGTGTGTCTGTGTGTGAGTGTGTGTCTGTGTGTGTGTCTGTGTGTTTGTGTGTGTGTGTCCGTGTGTGTGTGTCGTGGGAGTGTGTGTCTGTGTGTGTGTGTGTGTCTGTGTGTGTGTGTGTCTGTGAATGTGTGTGAGTGTGTCTGTGTGTGAGTGTGTCTGTGTGTGAGTGTGTGAATGTGTGTGAGTGTGTCTGTGTGTGTGTGTCTGTGTGTGTGTCTGTGAGTGTGTGTCTGTCTGTGTATGTGTGTGTGTGTCTGTGAGTGTGTGTGTGTACGCATATATATATATAAATATATAAATACACACACACACACACAGAGCCGGCGCTATCTGAGTGCCGGCTCTGCTCTAAGCCTCCATGGGCCCGCGGGGAGACCAAAGATCTACCTCACCGGCCCACAGCAGCATGGAGGGAGGCAGGAGAGGACCCAGGGAGCTCTAGACAGAAGCTCCGCCAGGTTCCTCTCGCGATATCTGAGCGTTGCTGCGGCAACGCTCAGATCTCGCGAGAGTTAACTCTAGCCCCGCAGGCTAGAGTTCACTCTCCACTGGACCACCAGGGATGGCACATGGCAGCAAGGATTTACTAATCTGCCAAATCCCTCCAAACATACAGCACACACACATACAGCACCTACACACATACAGCTCACACACACACAGTACACTAACCGCACCCTCACAAACACACACAGCACCTTTAAAAAAAACACAACACCCTCACACACAGCACACTAACAGCACCCTCACAAACACTCACACAAACAGCACCCTCACAGGACAAACATACACACACAAACACCCTCACACACAAACAGCACAGTCACAAACACACACACACACACACAAATACCCTCACATCACACTAACAGCACCCTCACACACACATCACACTAACAGCACACACAGCAGTGTATGTATTTGTGTGTGTGTGTATGTATCTATCTATCTATCTATCTATATATATATAGATAGATAGATAGATAGATAGATACATACACACACACACACACACACGGCGGGTGTTTGTGCTTTAGGGTGCACACCCTAATGCAATAGGCTGCGCACGCCTATGGGCTGTCACCATATTCTATTAAAGAAGTACTGTGGCTTTCAATGTTTGGGTGACCCAGGATAACTGAGAAGTTTTCCCACTACTAAGATTACCATCAACACTTGGGATACTGTGTTTAAGGTAGTTGGCCCTTTCTCTGGGTGGTCGCGAGTAATGTCTATATTAAAACTATATTTTTCCGATTTCGATTTGGATAATTGGCACACTAAATCAATTCAAAATTGAAATTACTTTTTCTTAGGTAATTCTTTAATGTCTTATATAAAACTTCAAGATAAATTTGACCTAGAAGATAATATGCAATTAGAACACAAATTATTTATTAATAAAATAAAAGATACATTTTCCTTTCAAAATTTAGATCAAAATGATACAGAAAGTGCATTATCTGATCTGGAAAAAACATACTTACATCACCATAACAAACGCGGTACTATATCTCAATGTTACTCTTATCTAATACCCACACCTAGATTAAAAGATGATTACGTGCTTGCATGGGAAAAAGATATGGGAACTTGTTACGACCTGGAGGAATGGCTTAAATTTGTACTAGCGCTTAACGGAGTTACACAGTGCTTCAATCATTGGGAAAATTATTTCAAAGTAATTTATAGATGATATTTACCCCCTATAGGTTGAATAAAATGAACTCAAGATATTCAGATAAATGTTGTAAAAACTGGGCAATGATTGTCTCACTTTCACATGTTTTTTGGTATTGTTCTAAACTCACACAATTTTGACAGGAAATACATAAATTAATCCAAAAAGTAAATTTTAATATTCCTGTACTCACTTCAGAACTGGCTTTATTCAGATTCTTCCCTAATACTATTGAAAAAAAACTGATAAAATTATAATTGGACATATCCTTTTAGCTGCTACTACGGTCATCCCCAGAAACTGGAGGTCACCAACAATCCCTACTATTAAAGAAGTTTTGAATTATATACTAGAAAATAAAGGGTACGAACTGCCTCTCAGACAACCTTTTTTGCCGTTAGATAACCTTAGACACTACTAAGACGAATGGGAAACAAAGAGAATATAGGTTTTGATTGCTTGTATGAAGAAATGTATTTTGAAAATTGACAACAAAATTTTTTATTCTATTATGCGATTATCTGAACTAGGCATTGTTGTGTCATGTTATCTATACTAGAATTGGTTTTAGTCATTAGAATTTAAGTTGAAAAAAGCTATTGTGGATGGATGCACTCCCCTCCCACCCCCCCTTTTTTTTCTTCTTCCTTTGCTCTCCCTACCATGTTTTTATTTTTCTTATTAACATTGCAATTTATTTGTATAGTTAATTTATACCAATATGTTATCACAATTAAACCTGACTATAAAGTGCCTGCTCAATACTTTCATCATTGATTTACATATGGACTGGATACATTGATATTTACTCTTTTTATGTATAACATATATGGTATTTTCATTTTCATTGTAAAAGTTATTGTTATTGTAAAAATATATATCCCTTTAAGAAAATATATTTGAAAAAAAATGATAAAAGGAATGGAGCATTTTAGTTAGGAAGAAAGGTTAACAAATTTAAATCTCTTTAAATCCCCTCATAGGGGATATGATAGCATTATACAAATATATTTGGGGGCAAGATAAACCATTGTCTAGAAATCTGTTCATAAACAGTACTATACATAGGAGATTTAGTCAAATGAAGGCAAAGGAAAGGGTTTTTTTACAGTAAGAACAATAAGAGGCGGTTTTATCACAGACCTTTATTGCGCCTTTTTCAAGATTGCTGCCACTACAATTGTGCTCAACTCACTAGCATAATTGTTTTTGTATTTATTGATTTTTTTCCAATTGCTGCATATTATTCGGTCCATACTCTGGGTGGTGGTCATGTTTCTTGTTGTGTGTGCAAACTTAAAGGGACACTATAGTCACCAAAACAACTTTTAGCTTAATGAAGCAGTTTTGGTGTATATAACATGCCCCTGCAGCCTCACTGCTCAATTGTCTGCCATTTAGGAGTTAAATCACTTTTATTTATGCAACACTTCATGTAAAGAGTAATGTAATGTTTACACTTCCTTTTTTGTAAATTCTGATTAATTTAGAACTTATTACCTCCAGCTTTGTTAATAGCTTGCTAGACCTGGTAGAAGCCTCTTGTATGTAATTATAAGCTAAATTTACAGAGCAGAAGATAAAAAGTTTTAAAGTAAGTTAACATGTGATTAAAAATGAAACCATTTATTTATTTATTTTTATTTAAAAAATGTATTATTTTTTTTTAAATTTTACTTTTGTTGTGCAGGTACAGTTTAGCATCAAACGTCACAACAGCATACATAGATAGATATACACAGGATAGACAGTGCAATGAAACCATTTTTTTTTTCAGGAAGGCTGTGTCAGTCACAGCCAGGGGAGGTGTGGCTAAGGCTGCATAACCAGAACAAAAGTGATTTAACTCCTAACTGGCAGATAATTAAACAGTGAAATTACAGGGACATGGTCTATAAACCAGAACTGCTTTATTAAGTTGTTTTGGCGACCATACTCTTTAAATCCAGATCTGCAACATTGCAATCACAAAAGATAAAGAATGTAGAGATAATGTGGACCACTAGTAGGTTTGCTTTATGTAATACATGAGATTCACAACACCTACAGTGACAATGGAAATGTCTATTTGACTTCTTTCCTTAGGTCAATGACTCTCAACTCAGACCCTGTCTGCAAATATCACAGTACTCTCAAAAGATTGCCAAGATGTTGAGCAGTGTGCACGCTATCGACACTTCTCACTTCTAAAATGTGATTTAAAACTCTTTTACAAAATCTTAGCAAATATACTTAAACCCCTCCTTCCGCATATTATAACCCCAGATCAGGTAGGCTTCACTTCTCAAAGCGAAACCAGGGACAAGGCTATGAAGGCCTTGTCATTGATCCACCAGGCACAGTGCACCTCAGGGGGTCTTTTCATTTAGCTAGAACTACCTGTCTGTCACTGTGAAAGCCATGGGCCTAGTACCATACATGCTCATGTTGATACAAACTTTATTTTCTATGGCTACTGTGAGAGTTTACAGTAATGGCGTGTTTACGGCACAATTTGCCCTGAAACCTTTACTGCAGGCCATAAGGGATAACCAGACGTTAGCAGGAGGTAGAACAAGACCACCAGAAGGTTGATATTCTTTGTCTCATCCTCAGAAACATCACTAACAGTCATCTTATCAGAATTCAGGTCAGGACATATAACACATTACTCAACATGAAAATTAACTTCCAAATCCAACATCTTAAATGTCTTTTTGCCAAGGGTACACACCAACCTGATCATTTTTTTTTTTTCAATGTAGTGATATGATGATCAAATGCCTGAGCATCTGGCCCACTAAAGACCTATTGTCTTACTGTTCATATCAAACCAACTTCCAAACGCTGCTTAATACCCGCTTAAAATAATTTCATGGATAGAGCGCCACCACACATCTTCCAGCTTGGGTAGGTGGGGTGATTAAGATGAATGTACTGCCAAGGTTGCTCTACCATTCCCAAGCACTGTTGATAGAGATAACCAGTGCCTTCTTCACTTCAGTAAACAAAACCCTGAGGTACAGAAATCATGGGAGTATGTGGAAACTTATCACATGGGCAGATCAGTTTTTGTTTTGTAGTGGATAAACCCCCACTTAAGCAGATCCCCAATTTCATAAAGGCTGCCATGAAGATAGGGCACTCTAAAGCGTCTAAACTAGGCCTATCCTCATTCCTCACCCCCCACCCCACTCCCATTGGCCTTCAATTTAGACTTCAAGTTGGGTACTGAGACAGGTGCTCTGTTCCACCTGTTCCAGTCAGTACATGGAAAGTTAATTCCATTCAGACATTCCAGGAATGGACACCACCTACCTTCATGGCCCATTTTACTCAACTATGTAAATGATCAGACTGATACCTAAGCACTTTTGAGACCACCTCTACCTCACGTGGTCTCTTATCTATAAACAACCCTCCAAAACCACCCTTTTTATAAATGGGAACAAGCATTGTGGGAAACCTTCTCCATGACCTAGTGTGATTTGGTTCATCACTGCTTGATAGCCAGCAATATTTACAAATTGGCTTCCAAATCCAAAACTAGTATAAAACACCTGAGAGCCTATGGGCAATAAATCCAAGGCTAGATGATTTGTGTTGAAGATGTGGGAGCCTCCTGGTTTCCTTCATATATATCTAGTAGGAATACCGTGACATTGGACCCTTCTGGAAAGAGTATTGTGGCTATCATAGGGAAGCTCTGACAATCCACCACTTTTCCCCTCAGCTCCCTTCAACTTTTCCACCACACCACAGTACCAACTTCTAGATATAAAAAAATCTTTAACAATTCACATACCTAACGTTGCCAAACAGATCATAGCCTTCTTTTGAAGGTGAAATGTTACGCCACTGTTGTCTTTATGGTTTACCAAAATGGAAGAGCTGAGAGCCCTGGAAAAACTGTGGTACTCTTTAAGGGGCAGGATCAAGGTATTTGGGCACAATCGCTGACTTAGGCTAACTTTCAACAACTCTAAGGCCTACCACCTAAACCTGATGGTTTGACTCTGGTAATTTCCATCTCAGAGACAATTGACCTGATATCTGTATATATATCTGTATGTTGACACATTTTCACTAGCTGTGAATTTTTACTTTTACAAGCTCTTACATACAGCCGTCATTAGTGGAAGTAAATTTGTCATTCTACTTTATTGAAATGTACTCTATAGCACTTTATTTTTCTTAACATGCACATGTGGTATGAATCACCCCAAATCATCTAATTTGTTCAGAAATATACTTGCTCCTATGGTATTCTTGTATTGTATTCTCCTTAATTAATAAAACAAAAATTATGCAAGACAGTTGGTGGAATTATGCATGCTGTGCTGTATATGTGAGTCTACTTGAAAAGATTAGACATGTGTTGTATCTAATTTTATAATTAATATTAATTATTAATTATTATTTAATAGTCATGTTGTTATTACTTTGGATAATGTAGATACATTTTGCACATTCAGTAGAATTTTGTGAAATTGCAGTTTTTTTTCCTGGACAATGACAAACATTAGCACTGAATAAACACTCATGAGTTGGCTTTATAATTTGCAATTAACTGCATCTAGGTAAGAAAGGAGTATATAAAGTGAGACACACAAGACATTCATGGCCACTGTGTATCCATGACCTTTATCCTAGTGTTATTTTACTATGAATACATTAAGCGGTTCAGTCTTCCTCTGTCAGAGTGTTTTTATTGTGTTACAGTTAGAAAGCCATTCTAGAAGTAATAATCAGTATAAGAATTGTGAAATAAAAATAAAACATCTTTTAACACATACTTTTGGTACTTTATTGTAATCTGTAACAAATGGAGTGGCTCTTTACTTTGATTGATATATATATATATATACACTTTAGTAGGGGTTGTCTCGTACATGCTCCAAGATCTTTTTCACGCCAAGATAAGTCTCTTGTGCGGTTGGTAGGATCTGTGTTGCTGGTAAAATAAAACCATAACGTCCTGTGTCTCTCAACTCAAAGGCAAAAGAGTACTTGATTCCAATATCGTAGGTCCAGTCAATGCTTCCGCCACTGGCTTGATCTTAAAGGAAAAAAACAAACAAAAAAAGTGAGAACAAATGTCTATCATCATCATCCCTTTAACCAAGCTATTCAAGAAGGAGGATTGCCGTCAAGCACAAAACTGTCCATTACACTCAAATATATAAATTATTAAAAATATATATTTATTTATGCAGCAATATTGTGCCAATGATCTGCAAAGTTTTCAGTATCAAACACAATAGGCTAGTGTAGCAAAAATTGTACATGAAATGCAATGGTTGCATCCCAAAAATAAAGAGTAACATGCCATTTGCCTAGCAACAACATACACTTAAATATTATTCATAACAAGATACATGTATAAGCTGCAGGTCATATGCCACGTACTGAGGTAAAATGTTTACAAAATTACACTGTTTGGCAAATTAGACCCAGCATTGTCCTGGAGAGACATATTAGCATTGGGGAGCAGTGCAGGTAAATCACAACTTGCAGGTCATACAACTAAAAGCACCATCATCACTTAAAACAAGAATATCTGTAACGCGTAACTCAACAGTTGCACACAGTTGAATGGATCTCAATATTAACTATAAAAGCAAATGATTTGTGAATTAGGTTCTGACAAGTTATTGTCATGGAGAAATTATTTCAGAGATGGCCAAGTAAGAATAATGTCACTAGACAAATAGAGTGACATATGATGTACTTACAGATGGTGGAACAGATGGTTCCAACTTTGTACTGGGTACCATAGAGAGAGCTCAGAGCGGTAGCAGCTGCTTTACCTACAGTGTTCTAACAAGAAAAGCAACGGTTAGAATGAATGCATCATCAAGACATACCATAGCCACAGTGGGCCACAGGCAGAAAGAGAAGACTCAAGGTTTTGTGTATAACTGTTCAGAGAACGTTTTCCATGCAGGGTTGTTTGCATGTGTTCTTATGACATTTAGGGTGGTGAATGACTTGATACACAGTGCATGAAGGACAGTTATGTATGCCCACAATATGTATGTCTTTTTTAAAATAAAATGCTATGCTAATGCTTCTTAATCAGGCCTTCTACACAAGCAGAAAAACAACATGCAAGGTAAAAAAAGAAACAAAAGCACAAATGATTTCCAGAAATATTTCTAGTGATGCAAAAGTACATTAACAGATCAAACTAAAGTATTATAGAGCTCCTGAAAATATCTTTACTATTTATTATATTTTTCAAAATCTTGAATAGCCATAACTCACCAGTTCTGTGAAGTGAGCTGGGTTTGTGCACTTGTAACCGTAAGGAAAGAGAAGTAACTGTGAGTAGCTATGAATTGACACAAAGCCCTTGAATTTGCCATGCTGTCTGACAAAGTTAGCAATATTTTTCACTTCCACTGCAGACTCAGGGCTGGGCCCATGGTAAGAATCAGAGCAGGGATCTGCACTTGTTCCTGGTCCTGCATGTCAGGAAACAAGGTAATATTAGAGCAGATATACAACACAGCTGTAAGCTTTCTCCACAACATAACAGCCACCATACTGAAGACTACAGTTCCCAGAAGGCTTAGCAGCCAATACTCTGACGCGCATATGTCGCGGGTCACATGTCCCAGCTTTAGAAGCCGTTACTACATTAAATACACATCGTTTTTACAATACAATTATATATTTCTGCTTCCCACTAAACAATCTATAATATTATATGCATAATTCTCATATATGCATCTTACAAAGAGTGATTGCATTTCATTGGAGGACAGCCTATGATTGGATTTTGGCGCCCATTTTAAATTTTTCTATCCCTATTTAAACCCCACGTAGCCAGGTTGTATGTTTTAATCCCATCTGAAAAAGCCACATCGGCGAAATGCATAAGAAAAAGTACTGTATAATGTCCCAAAAGACCAAATGGTAGTGCCGAACACCCAAAAAGTGTACCTCACATACACCAAATATAATATATAACAAAACGGGAAATATATACCACACCAAAACCATCAGCGAAATGCGTTATAGATGTTACTTTGTATTTTATTTAATAAAGGATTTTGGTCACTGCATTAGTGGATTGTGCCATATCCTTTATATTTTATTATCTTCCTGGCATTTTATCATCTCTGCTCTCAAGAAATCCGAGGTGGGGATCATACCACCAACGCTATCATCATAGAGCAGTGAATCTGCTCTATCCTTGTGAGTACAATTTTTATCAATTTTATCAGTTCTTATTATAGTATTGAGATCACTACTGGTTGCTTTTTTAACTTTCTCCTGAGCACCGGGCACCTCTACCGCTGTGGACGTCCCTCATCATATACTATAACTGGGGATTGTACCATTGTATGCAACCTATGCTAGAGCTGGCTATAGCTCTCTTACATAGATTGAACTACCACATCCCCCAAGCACAAAGAATTCATGCTTATCAAACATCTACAGCTGTACTTACCTCTTAATTAGAGGCATCCTTTCTATGTGAGAACTATTATTGCGGGGGCTACCCATTTTCTATTTTGTTTTATACTTTGTTATCCGAATTGTTGTGTGTTATTGTGATTTTATGTGACGCAGCTCTCTTCCTTTTTCTTGTTTGAAATAGGCACATATATACACACGCACACACATATATACATACATACACAAGGTCTGTCCAGAAAGTATTCAGCAATGTAATATTAAAAATGGAGAAGAAGATAGATACAAGAAACATTGTAAGTGGACAACGACCCCTTTAGAGTAGGCGCCTTGGGACCTCACACAGTTCTTCCAGCGTCTCTTCCACTATTTAAAACACTCTGCCAAATAATTTGTTGGAATCAACATCAGCTGCCTCGTCTTATTTACCTGGATCTCATCAACGGTTTGAATCTCTTCCCTTTCAAAGGTGATTTTAGTTTTAGGGAAAGTCAGAAGTCGGAGGGCGCCAAATCTTTCAACAGATTCTCGACCATCTTTTAAACGTTTGTGCAACACTTATTTGCGCTGCATTCATCACCGAAAACCTTCTAAATCCGAATAGTTACCGAAGGAGAAACATTCAAGCTTAGTGCAGAATTTGATTCAGATTCGTTGGTCTACTGACTCTAGTCATTTTGAATGCGACGGACACACAGTACACTCACTCAATGGTGTCCAGTGCCCCCACCGACTAGTACAGTGAAGTCATTGTTCACGCAAGCGCATTCCAGTCCACTCTCCTTATGTACATATTGCAAAGTTATGTACACAATATAAAAAATACATTTGGCTAGAATTATCAAAGGAAAAACAGTAACGTATATGCAGATGACCTTGAAATGTTTATGCTAGTTTGTACAGAGTCATGGTAAAGATAAAGATGTTATACACGTCGCAAAGTAGGAATCCAACCAACCTTTTTAATTTAACAAGTTATTATATATCAGTGCTACTTGCATGGCAAATGGAAATAAAAGAGAGCACTAGACTGTGGAATCCCTAGACCAGAGCACTTGTTTTCAGTTACCTCCAAATCCAGCGTTCCAGTTCCTGTTGGGATCCACACCCACACAACTGCTTCCACTGTTAGGTGCACGAGTTTTACGCCACATACGGTTCTGGAGACAGAAAAATTATGGTACAAAGTAGTCCACTAAATTCTATTAAAAAAAGAGCAATGTTTTATCTCATCTACAAGTTATTTACAGGAATACTCTAGCATCAAACCCACTTCAATGAAGTGGTTATGGTGCCATGAGTACCCCAGTGATTTCTTATCTACAACTACCGACCATTTTTTAACAGTTTAACACTAAAGTGGAGTCCCCTGCGTGCTAGTCCAACGTCTTCTCCGGTACTGCTTGCAAGTACGGAAGCAATTGCCTGAAAAGCAACTATAGACTGAGAGTCAGTTAATTCTTCTACCCTTTCACTAGCCACCCTTAGTGAGTAATGATTCAGAAATGAGCGAATGTTTCACTATTTCTGAATTACATAAATAAATTAATTTAAAAGCTTTGCAAGCAATATTTTCTCACAGAAGATAAAATGTTGGATTGTGGAACTTGCAGCAGTCGTTTTCAGGTTATGTCAGCAGTGTGGCAGTAAAACAATATGTACGCCAACAGAAACTTTAATTTTAACACTTTATTCATATGTAGAAGAATGTAGCTACGCAGATCAAAAACGTTACCACCAAGAGAGGAGGATACTCACTGTACTGTGGGAATAGACATATCCATCTGGGTTTGTGACCACTAGAAGGAATACATCAAATTTGTTTAGCAGAGATGTAATGGATGCATCCTTTCCATAATCTGTAGCAAGCTGATAAAAGGAAAGAGTTGAATATTAAAACCAAAGCATTTAAAACTGGTCCTGTCGGAATAACATTGTTTGGAAGACTGTAATTATTGCCCACTTTCCATGAAAATAGAATTGAACGCTGTCTGGTCAAATTTCTTTATTTTTTTTGTGTTTTTATTATCTCAGGTAGAGGTTTTTCCAGTATGACCAACCGCCGTGTGGACACATTTTCTTGTTCTAAGTTTCCTATGCTTGAGATGTTTCATTCATTTACCATTGGAATATTTCTCTGCTTAGCGTGTAAATTGTACACTTTTTATGTAAAGACAGCTAAGATTGTTCTAAGGAAATAGCTCATGCACATTTTCACAGGCATCACACCAAATATTAGATGAAAACCCTCAACAAGATATACAACATCCATTTGGAGAGCAACTTATGGTGAAGATAGAAGAGATACAAACAAATGCGGTGAATGTGGAAGTAACTAAAATAGTCATTTTTGTGATATAAACCCAAAATTGTATTAATGTATTTACTAGACTTGCCTTCAGACTCTATTAAACTGCATTTACTCTAAGCTGATGTCTATGGAGAAGGTTAACGATAAATACCAAATTTATATTTATTATAAAAGAGTACAACTTTCTCTGCAATGTACCTTGTATCCAATCCACAGGGCACTAGCTTGGGTAACCCATTCACGAGAGTGAATGCCAGCATCCAACCAGATTGCAGGACGACTGGCACCAGTACTGAACTGGAAACAAAACACAATGTTAGATAACACAAAATAATGCATATATGACGAAAAAAAAAATGTAAGAATAAGTATATAGTCTAATGAAAACTGTGTCAATTTACGTTTAGTGTTCTTCCTCATACAATGTATGCAAGACACAAAATTAGGACAATGTCAGGTGTGTACAATACTATACATATTAACAATAACTTCCAAATATTTTTTAATGTATGAAATGCTACATCTAAACATGTTTGCTAGTGTTCTTGCTAATGGGGAATAATATATGTAAAATCAAATGAATAGAAAACAGATAGTTACCTTTTTATTTATTTTTAAAATAATAATAGAATATTATAGTGTCTTACCTTAAGGACATAGACAGGCCTTCCTTCGTGAGAGGTCCCGATCTGTTGCTTGGTGACCAGTGATTTAAAATCCAGAACAATAGCGTCAAGACCTTTGTACAGCTATATCGGAAAATATAAAATACATAAATTTGTTACATGTGAGTGACTTTCTAAGAATTAATATGGTTTATTTGTGAGAAAAGCTTAACGAACAATAGAGCTTAGTTATCCAAATTGATACATAAGGGTTTAAGATTACCACAGATTTTAATACAGTCAACAGAATGGTGACAGACATTAAAATCTTTAATCATGGAACTTAGTCGATATAGAATTTAGTAGATATAGAATCAATGAAAATGTGCATGTATTTAATTATGCATTTATTTTCATTGGGTATATAGGTAAAAACAGCTTGCAAAAGCGGCAAAGCTCTTGTCTGAAGCCTTTGCAAGCCCTTACCTTCTAACTCTACCCACACTTTCTGTGGCTGTCCAATCACAGACTTCCCAATGCTGCTCAATGAGAAGTCTTTGCAAAGCAGGTGCTCTGAGCAATTATTGCCTCCTGAGTTTAACTCCACTGAGCTAACCAAACCAGGAAGTAACAGGCTCTGTTGTATGAGTATAACAAGGTTAATTTATAATTTCTATTGAAATTTCTATTTGTAAAAAACAAAACACAAAGCACTTCAGCAAACTAAAATGCTTTAGGTGTAGAGTGTCCCTTTAAGTATGTAAGCATAACTTTCAATCTCTGTATTTGTTAACAGTTTGGCACAATTTATAGATTTTGAATTGGAGAAATTCTCACAACTTGAATATAATAGCTTAAATTTAGCAATTTGGTTTCCCATGCAGCTTTTCCATCTCTGCTGGAGTGATTTATTAACTTTATATTTAAGGTCTAACAGACTTATTTGGGTAAAATAAATTATTAGGAAATTTATTGCCAGCAAATCATCATTAAGGCTCAGTTTATGGTAATGCCATAGACCTTTTGGAAGATGATTAGGTCATGTAGAATTCTATATCAAATAATATTAACTTCCTTTATGTGACACAGTATACAATATATGTTTCTCCAGATTAGAACATTTTTGCTCTTTGTATATTTTTACTTAAATATATTTAAAAAGACATAAAAGGGCTCTCGATCTGATTATATTTTACTTCCTTGGAAAAAATGCATTTCAAATTGTCATTTACAACTATATTTTAATCTTATTAATAGGTCAATTATTAGCAGACCTCATTTTACATATAAACGATAGATTAAACTACTAACATTGTCCAAAGTGTGGTATGTAGCATAGTTGAATGTGCCAGAATTACGTTCTTTTATTTGATTTAATTCCATCTCCTGCTTCTCTGCGTCAAGCACAGCCTGAAATAAATATATTATATATGATTAATACATTGCATGTGATTAATTACATCACCATCATCTTTGCATTATTGCAGAAAATATATTACATAAGGTTTGCATAGATGCAAATAAATGATACAGTTTAAGTAATTACCTTGCAAATTCCATATTAAAGAAAAATAATACTATATACATACACTCTATCGCATCTTAAATATATAACCTTTGTTAGAGATTAATCGAAGGTTATCAGTTGTTACAGAGTAAGTCAGTCAATAACTAAGGACATTTTTATGACTTGAAATGTTTTTCCCATTTTGGAGAAACTGGAACTTAGAATTAATCTCACTTTTTCTTCTATTTATGAATGTATTTTCAGTGAAAAGGTGCAGACAAACACACTGTGCAGTAAGACAGATAGAAAAAATACATGCATATAAAAAGAAAGTTTGGGACAGATAGAAAAAAATAAGCACATACAAGTAAATATAAAATAAAAAAGCCAGCTAGAAAAATAAATTAAATAAATCAATTTTTAGATGCCATCAGAATTCTAATAAAAATTAATTTAAAAAGTTTACTCCATAATATGTGATGTTATCAAAAGGTACAGTTTTAGTAAAGGATCTAATTAACAGACTGGTAGGGTTTATTTTCATATACCTGCAAATCGTCGATCATGATGGAGTACTCAATGTTCTGAGATTCTAGGTAACTCTTTACAGACTGAAGACTGTGGAAAGGTACGCGAACATCAACTGGAATGTCAACCTTGGCTGGTTCTGTCCAGAAATCAAGCTATAAATGTAAAAATAAAATGTGGAATAGGATTATCCCTGTGTAACATGCATTAAAAATAAATGTATCTCATGTATCGCATAGCAGTCAACCCATACACAGAATCGAGTAATGCTATATAGCAAGAGTTGATACTTTTAAGTTTCCCGTTACCCATGGAAAAGGAGTCAAATAATCTCTTTATTGGGAGAAAGTTTACTTGTGTTTTTTTTTTGTTTGCCTAATGTGACATGCTCAGAGAACGATAGCCGCAGTACCTGTAATATTGTTTGTCAGGATGTCTTGTTCTACCAGATCATATTTTGTCATTACTGACAAGTTATGTTTCTTTTTTCCTTTATAAAAATAAAGTTTGCAACTGAAAATATTAAACTATTTTACAAAATCACTGTACCTTTGCGGGAATGCAAACAAGAAAGCATTATGTTATATATATTTTTTACATATATTATGCATTCCACAGCACTATACAATTTAGCCACCCCAGTAGCGTATATTTTCTTTCTACAAAGAAAGTCAGTGGTTTTTAGTCAATTTATCTCTTTCTTCACCATGATCACATCATCATGAGAGAAAATGTATTGTCAAATCTAGATGTTACAGTACTACACTGATTAAAGTAGCACATTATTTTCAGGAGAAGTGGCTACAAAAAGCAAAACAAAATTCTAGAAAGAGAGTAACAGATTGTACCCATCTGACCATCGACACATCTTTCCCACTGATGGATTTAAAAAGGAGTTCTTAAAAAAGTTTGACAATATTCAGTATAAAAATACATTTACATTGAATGAATAACTGAAAATATAAGATTATCATTTACAAATGCATTATTTCTGCAATTTGAGCATATAAAATATTGTACCTCAAGGTGAGTTAGACTTTCTAAGGCTTGGAGTTGATATATTTGATCATCGTTACTTGCTCTGATCCGAAGGACCTGTTGCCTGAAAAAAGAAAGCAATGATTCAGTTACTGTAAGAAATTGAATCAGAAAAAATATATAAATACGGTTAGAGATCTTAAAGGGACACTATAGTCACCAGAACAACTAAAGCTTAATGTAGTTGTTCTGGTGAGTATAATAGCTCCCTTTGGGCATTTTCATGTAAACACTGCCTTTTCATAGAAAAGGCAGTGTTTACATTGCCCCTAGGGACACCTCCAAGTGGCCACTCCTCAAATGGCCACTGGAGGGGCTTCCTGGCTCAGGACTGCACAGTAAGCAGCCCTGCTGTTCAGCGTCCCCACACTCTGCATGGAGATGCTGCATTTTCCTCATAGAGATGCCAATTTTAGCCAAAATTGGATATTTCGATTATGTCACAATGTGGGCGGATCGAGCGCCGGCATACCCGAGCGGTGCTGGAAATAAGGTGAGTTTTAAACGTTTATAGAGGGGCTAAGAGAGGGGGCAAGGCACCAATATGGTGGGTTAGACACTATAGGGTCAGGAATAAGTGTTTGTGTTCCTGACCACCATGAAGTGGTGCATTACTAAAAACCAGGATTGATGCTTGGAAAATTTATTGTGCACAGATTTTAGCCAGTTCTTTATGAATCCCTTTTCATTTAGCCAATTCAGTTATAATATACATATGTAGTCCTCTTTGAGTCATGATAATTATTGCAGTTTCTCAGAAAGTGCAATAATTAGCACTGTAGGGTTATGGGATACTGGACATTTTTGTATAAGCTGTTCAAAATTATCTAACTTTGTTTTTATATATTATATCTCAAAATATTGTTCAAAATTGTAAATCCAATTTAAAGTGTATCCAAAAATATTAAATCAGGGCCTAATTTGGCTGTTTTGACCTAACATTTACAGTTCCTTTCTCAATTACCTATTTTTCAAGGATGAAGATTTTTGCAATAAATACTGAGCTGTAGTGCGTTACAAAAAAATGCAATGCTTTTACTAAAATAATTAATTGAGAAAAACTCCAAATTTGGCTATAATGATTTACATTTTGCAATTCACTGTTTAGTTGATTAACCTATGGTGTATAAGACAAGTGTATTTACATTTACAGTATTTACATTTTCCAGAATTATTAAAAAGTATTATTGTCAAACATAATAAAGAACACCACAAATGTAATTAAATGTTTGGGGTTTTTTTATAACACATTTTATGTTATATGGAGACCTAACTTCTGCATGCTGAATCTGTGGTTTATTGCTAGATTGAGTACTCACCCTACAAAGGTATCAACAGCAAAGACACCTGCCACAAAGGCAGAGAGGAGCAGAAGAAGTCTCATGATGAAATGTAGGATTCCTATGCAGTAGGACAAGGTATTTATACAAAGCGAACCAGAATGTTGCATTCACGTCATGCTGAGAACAAGCAGGTGGTTATTTAGATTTTAGAATAAGAAAGCTTATCTCAAGGTAAAGCACTGACACAGAACAAAGTTATTGCATAATATTCTGCAGTAAAATTATTTTTTCTGATGTAATAGCTCAGCACATTCAATATAACTGGATATAATCAAATAGAAAACATGTGTTTGATGCAAAGTTTTTAGTACATTTCCTGATAAGTGGATTAGTTACATCATCCTCTATATAAAGACATTTTGACTTTAATTTTTTTTTTTTTTATCTACTTTATTATTAGTGATGTATTTAGCATTTTTGCAGTCCATGGCACAGACAAGTCTATCTGGATTATTCATTAAACTCCTAATGGAAATAGCTGACCTGGAAAAATTCTCTACCACCAGCCATAGTCATGTCTTTTTGCCATTCAGAATTAATTAATGAAAACTCAGAGTTAGTAAAAACAAAAAAACTCTTTCCATATTCTTGCTGTTCTTGTGTAATGTGTGTTAAAAGGGACTGTCACTTCCCAGGTATTTTAATATTATGTTCTCTTTTTGGCATTATGTGCGCGAGCCGTCCTTCTATATTAGAAAGGACCAAAGAAGCCCCAGCATTAGAGTTGGGGCAACCAACGTTAGAAATAACTGATAAGACAAAGTGAAATATTCACCGTGCACAATTACTACAAGAAAAGTTGCAGTGATGGCAAGGGAGAGTAAGAAGAGTGCTATGGGTACCTTGAGATGTAGGATTGAGAGATTTATGGCTTTAAATTAGCCAGGTTTACAAACTCCTTTGGTAACTAATGTTTAATGTGCCTTGTACAAATTCATGTTTATGAGCTATTAAAATTAAAGTATTTGGCGTGGACACCGGACCTAACCACATGGTTTACAGAGCCCCTCCTCATCTCTCTCTCCTCTGAACTGGATCGTAGACAGAGAGGCAGACTGGCTGTCACTGATGAAATCACTGCCCAGAAAAGAAGACCTGTGAGAAGCAAATTCCTTGCTTCAGACCTCTATAAGGGCTAACATACAGACACTGTAGGGATCATTAAGGCCTACGCTATAGGATGGGAAGATTAGAAGCCGACCAATGTTAGACCAGGTGGCGACAACGGATATGCTCACATGTCAGATCAAATCAATTTCATAATATGGCTTTGCACATAGCAGACTTAGATAATGAAGCCATATTGCATGCAGCCAGGAATACTCTAGAACTTAACTATAAGGGAAAATGTGTTTCAGATTTAGCCGCACGAAAAGACAGCTATTGTCTGCAGATACCCACTGGACTGACTTTCTTTACATAGAATGGTCAACTCACACACAAGGACTTTGTGGCCCTGGAGGAAGCTCTGCATTTATCACCAAATAACATGCTGGCTGGACCCACTAGCAGCTGCTCTTCCCCAGTGACATCGGAGAGACAGACTCCAGGCCACAAGGCTGGCACTCCAGCATAGGAGGGTGACCACTGAGTGAGACCTAATTTTATTTGTATATAGTTTCATCATATTTTATTCATAATCATATGCTGGGTGACCTGGAGTTCCACAGGTGTGAACTAAGTAATATAAACAAACAAAAAAGTATACACACTATACAGAGTGAAAGTAAAAAACCATATATTAGGGAGAAGTCCCAGGTGTACCTCACTAACACCTAAAACACATACAATCAAGAAACAAAGTGGAAACACCTCCCAATACGTGGCAGTATAAGAAAAATACAAATAACCTGAAATATAGGTAGTAGTTCGTTAATGGAATCTGTATAAAGAATTAAAAAGCTGACATAGCGTAATACAGTATTGGATTAGTGAGTGATATTTAATAGAAATAGGTGCACTCACAAACAAACATGAAATCAGGCTTCTCACCCTCCCAGGGGTAATAATGTGTTGAATAGAAGATCCTCCGTGGAATATATGCAAAATAAAGGACCAAATATAGTGAAGTATGTAATAAAATTACAAAATTGCATTTATTGGTCTCACTTACATGTGATGAAATATAGTAGGCGTATCTCCATACAACATGGAACTCCTGAACAATGCAGAGGCAGGTCCAATGGAGAAGACAGCATAGAAGGAGTATATACTACATACAAATACACATAATAAAATAAAATAAAATATAGCAGCGTCTAAAATCCTAAAGAATATGTCCAATGCGTTTCGTCCAGCAAAAAGGACTTCCTCAGGAATGTAGATGTGATGATCCTCATGGATATATATAGGGTAGTATCAGTAATCATCCTAAATTCAAAATCCCCGATGTCCAGCATGCGTCTATGGCGTGCATTTCATTCCTGGAACGCATGGAACAGGATGCAGCTCTTGCGTTCCGGCTGTGATGTCATTTCCGGAAATATGGAGCGCATATGCGAGGTAAATGCGCATGCGCATAATAGACGCGCATGTGCGTAATAATCTGCCCGAAAAACTGAGAACCAGTGTAAAAAACACACAATAAACAGAATAAAAATACACACATATAATAAATATACATAATAAAAATTACATATTAATATACTACATGCAAAAAAGCGGAAACAGAGATTCTTTACTCTGATAGAACCCTCTTACTTGGAAAACTAAGGGAAAATAACAGTGAAATGGTTCGATATAATAGTAAAAACAAATCAATACATAACAAAAGTAAAAACAATAGACACAATTTTAATAATAAATTTGAATTTGCTTTTTTGACGCAGTATAATTCCCAGGCAAAAAGGATAGAAAAAATACTTAAAAGGCATTGGCACATCCTGAAAAGGGATGATATTTTAAAACATATGCTACCAAAATTTCCCACGGTAATTTACAAAAAATCAGCCAATTTAAAAAATAAATTAGCACCTAGTTTGTTACCTTTTACTCCTTCTTGCAACAATGTATTAAAAACTCCAATACTTGTTTTTTTTAGTTGTGGACATTGTTCCACATGTAAATATCAAAAAAAGAAAATTACTGATTTTGAAAGTACATATACAATAAAACTTATAATATTAACCCCTTAAGGACAGAGCTTCAAAAGCTTGTCTTTCACTTAATGACAACGGCATTTTTTTAATTTTTTGCTGTTTGCGTTCAACTGCAATTTGCATTTTACTAATTTGTTGCAACAAAAAACATATTATACATCGTTTTTTAAAGGACAGAAAGGGCTTTAATTTGATGTAACACACATATATATAAATGCTTATTTATTATAAAAAAATACAGAAAAATGTTTTAAAATATGAAAATTTTGTGGTTTTTTTTTTTACAGTTTTTGCAATAATAATGTGTGCATAATTAGTGCAGGTTAAGAAAAGTAATTAAAAATAAATTAATCTAGTTGTTCTGATTTACAGAATATACAATGTGTCTGGGATTTAAAGTTTTTTTTGGTAGTTACAGGTCACAAAGCACAAGGAGTAAAATAGACTTTTAATGTGGAGCGATTTTAGAATTTGGTATGTTTGTCTTGTAAGCTTAATAGCCATAAAAGAAAACAAAATTGCCACACAAAAGTATATATTTATATAAAGTAGACATCACGGGCTATTTACCTAAGGTTGTTTTGACACTTTCTACGTAGCCATTTCACCGCCAACCTCTGCTAAATATTGGAGTAAAATTGTGTTTTTTTTGGTTTTTGGCACACAAACTTATAACAAAGAGATTCTCGTGTATATTTTGTAAAGTTGGTGTGTGCTATTCCTGTACAAAGTTTTATTTTGTGTTCAGTTACATCTGCTGAGTAAAACGACACCCCCATTGTATGTCTTTGCCACTATTTTGTGAAGTTACAGTGCCACACAGGATACCTGTCCTTTTCAGTATTCACAGTAGAATTTTGAGAGATGGATTTAATGAGCCTTAGCTTCCATTTGGGGTATTATGACAGTTTGACTGTTCAAAAAAAACCCACAAAGGCCTACCATTTGTAAAAGTAGACACTCCAGGGTATCTCATAAGGTGCATATTGTGCCTTAACATGCCCCCATTTTTTCACCAATGTATGCCAAAGTATGTGGTAAAAAATAATTTTGTGCATTTTTTACATACGGATTGCATTTTTGCTGGGCGTTTTGTATATTTCATATGTGCCACTAAGTTCAAACCCCCCAAATTATGCTCAGCTAAGTCTTCTGAGTAAAATGACACCCCATATGAATGTCTTTGGCACTATTTCGTGAAGCTACAGTGCCATATAGGAGACCTGTCCTTTACAGTATTCACAGTAGAATTTTGAGAGATGGATTTAATGAGCCTTAGCTTCCATTTGGGGTATTATAACAGTTTGACTGTTCAAAAAACCCCCACAAAGGCCTACCATTTGTAAAAGTAGACACTCCAGGGTATCTTATAAGGTGCATATTGTGCCTTAACATGCCCCCATTTTTTCACCAATATATGCCAAAGTATGTGGTAAAAAATAATTTTGTGCATTTTTTACATACGGATTGCATTTTTGCTGGGCGTTTTGTATATTTCATATGTGCCACTAAGTTCAAACCCCCCAAATTATGCTTAGCTAAGTCTTCTGAGTAAAATGACACCCCATATGATTGTCTTTGGCACTATTTCGTGAAGCTACAGTGCCATATAGGAGACCTGTCCTTTACAGTATTCACAGTAGAATTTTGAGATATGGATTTAATGAGCCTTAGCTTCCATTTGGGGTATTATAACAGTTTGACTGTTCAAAAAAACCCCACAAAGACCTACCATTTGTAAAAGGAGACACTCCAGGGTATCTTATAAGGTGCATATTGTGCCTTAACATACCCCCATTTTTTTCACCAATATATGCCAAAGTATGTGGTAAAAAATTATTTTGTGCATTTTTTACATACGGATTGCATTTTTGCTGGGCGTTTTGTATATTTCATATGTGCCACTAAGTTCAAACCTCCCAAATTATGCTCAGCTAAGTCTTTTGAGTAAAAAGACACCCCCAATGAATGTCTTTGGCACTATTTCGTGAAGCTACAGTGCCATAATAAAACTTATAATATTAACCCCTTAAGGACAGAGCTTCAAAAGCT